ATGCTAATCACTCTCTGCAAAATGGACTCGTTCCCGGTTCCCGATGTGCCCGAGGCTTTGGATTTTGATGTCTTGGGAAAATCAAGAATGATAACCTCATCATCATCTACAACAATAAACTCGTTCGTGACGCCATTTGCACTGCATCTTTTGGTTGGCATTCTATTCCAAGAACGTGATCTAATCTGACTTTGCTCTCCCATTGCTTCTTTATACCACACATAAAGAGAATGAAGAAACTTGTAGCAATAGTTCAAAGCATCCGCTTTGAGTAGTGGTCAGAGTTGAAATTGCAGAAATCCATATAGCTAAAACCAAACCTATAAACAGAAGCAAATACAATCACACATCATTACAAGTATACTGAAACCATATTCAATTTTAGAGCAATCTGAGAGACAAACGCTAATGCATCGCACCCGACTAGCCTGAGATCAGCTTAAAATGAAGGTAACAACTCAAACAAAGTGAATTTTTGACAACTACGAAACCTAGAAACGATCATAAGCCTGAAGTAAGATTCTCTAATCTCCCAAAACGAAACCCTTTAACATCGACTCAAAATTGAAACCTAATCGTAATTGCAGAGGGATCTTAGGTTATACCATGGATGATCTTCGAGCAGATTGGGAAACTGAGGATGAAAAACAAGATTTTGAAAAGTACCCACTAATTCAAGGATCGAAGTGAGCAGAGAGATTTGAAGACAATCGAAACTTGGTGACCTCTCTGTCTCTCTCGACCACGATGACAATGGAAGAAGACGGGTGATTTTTTTGGGTTGCTTAAAACTGAACCCTAATTTTTGGGGTTTGAAAGAGAGAAGGAAGATGAGAATGGAGCGACTCGTGCCCTGCACACCTCACCAAACGTGGCTTAACGATCCGACGAATTGAGAAATTTTGGTCTTGCTCGTTGATTGGTCTGTCTTTAGATTAAATGTCAAACACATGTCACCCTAAACATATCTTTAATCGCCAAAACAAGTTTTTTTTTTTTTTTTGGGAGGGGTGGGTCAATTAGGCCCTAGATTACAATCATGCTACTAATATTTCCAATATTTACATTTTGTTTTTCTTGTGATTGATTAATTAGATTCTTTTTTTTTTCCTACTGTAAAATTCAATAAAACAGAGTATAATCCTCGTTGAGAGGTCGTCAACAAAACATACTCACGATATGTGTTTTCCATGGAGCAGTATATGAACTCCTCTATGCAAGAGATCCCCTTGTTCTTCAATGGAAATATCTATGTTTCCTTATCTACTAGGTAAAAAATCCGCAGACATGCGGATTCTATCAAAAATCATATATAAACCATGATAAAATATTTTATAATTCACGAAAAAATCAAATTAAAAAAAGTAGCAAAATAAATAAGAGAATTTTGCATGAATGACTAACAAAAAATTTATAATTCAATGGATAACCAAAGTAACGTCGTGGTTATGATATAACGTGCGTAACATGATATACCGTGCATAACATGTATATGTAACGAAAATATCCTTATTCTGTTTCTCCCTTGTCTTTTGGATTTTTGCAGAAACATTGCAGAGCTTTTTTACGAACTAAAATAAAAACTCTTTTTCGTTCAATTTGTTTATATTGCTTCACAAGGTGCGAGTTAAGATTTCCTGATCAGATCCAATCCCCATTCTTCAGAGGTGGTTATCAAGTTGGTTGTGGTGATAACCATAGTATAGACAGTGGAAGTCAAGGTGGTGGATGAGGTCTTGGTTATGGTGGCGGTGGAAACCGGTGGTTTCGAAAATCGTGACGGCGGTTGTTGATTAAAATCAACATGATGCGAACCCAGAATTAGTGGCAATGATATAGTATTGTGTTGAAGATAGGGGTAAAATTGGAAATCCATTAGGTTATTTAGTTACTTAGTTAAATATCTCATTTTCCATAGCTATTTTCTTTATTATTTAACTCAATATAGATATTAGGCAAATTGACCCAAGAAATAAATCACCCATG